CAACTTTACAATTAAGTTAATATCAGATGCCGGATTCCAAAGTGAAATCACGTCTATCTCTACGGCCGCCCAACAGATTGAAGTGTTTTCCCGCGTTCTCAAAACATCAATTGTTAAATTTCTGAATAATCCCGACGATGTGCACGGCGCCATTCAGGAGTGCGCCCGGATGGTGTGCCACGGCCAACACACGTATGTCTACTCGCAGGTGTTGATACAAGTGCTAAGTCAGGAACAGAAAGGTGGCTTCAATATGAAGCGCTTATCCCAGGAAATCATCAAATACGCCCTACAAAAGTACATTTGATTCACTTATATATGCCACCAACCTGCTCCCTACTACTAACCATGTTCTCTATGGTTTCTTTAATTTGTTTCAGCAATCAGAATGTGACGCCTATAACAATGGCTCTGAATGGGTCGGCGGTATATCCGCAGGCGTGTCAGGCGCTTACCTCGATGTTAACGCGCAATACCCTTAATCCAGCTGATATAACCGTTCTGTTTCGTAACTATTCGGGCTCTGATCCGCCACCGATAGACCTCATACGGAATCCGCAGTTTTTGGAGCTATTGGTTGATGCGCTATTTCGTTCTGGTGTTAAAATCAATCCGGAACATAAGCCCAAATACGTTTTCCTGCTGGCCTATGCATCGTCTGTTATTGACCAGCCCGCCAAGAAGAGGCCTCTGACCGAAAGAACACTAAATAAAGACGAACTGAAGAGCACCATCCAGGCCATTGAAAAGGCGCACGCTATTTGCAACGTGGACCAGGGCTCCACTGAACTTATAGCCGAGTTACAGACTCTCTACAATTGCATAAAGTAAGCACATTAATCCTAATATGGACCACATGTAGCTGATTTCCGCGCTTTTTTATCCGTATAGGTATCCAGTTGTTGGTGTTGGTGTAATCCGATGGATAGAAAATGTTGTAATGGAGCCATCCTACTTTAAACTATCTACGGACAGCTGTCCCACGCATTTGGCGGTGCTCGATGAAGTAGCTGGAGTGCATCCAACATTGCAGCAGCAAATACTTTTTCTACTAATCCGTTTATTCGAATCCAAGCAGGATGAATTGGAGATACTTGTGCAACTAGAAATGAAAAAGGTGATTCTAGATCGTATGGTTAATCTGCTGACACGCGGCTGCGTTGTTCCAGTGCTGCGATACATCAAACAATGCTGTGCAATCGAGGACACGGATATTTCGTTGATTCGGTACTTTGTTACCGAAGTGCTTGAGACAATAACACATCCCTACTCGGCAGAGTTTGTGCAACTCTTTCTGCCGATGGTTGAAAATGAGGAGATAACTGGCACGATGCGCGGCGAAGGCGATAATGATCCCGTCTCGGAATTCATTGGTATGCCTCCAAAATACAAAGTCTTCATTTTTGATGAATCTTAACTACATTTTACCTCTTGTTTCAGTTCACTGTAAGGCGCATTATACCACTGTATAGCAGACAATTTTTTAGCAATTTAAGTACAAAATTTTTTTACTATAAGCCCACATTCATGTATGTAAATCAGTAAAAGTCCAGTTTTCAACTTTCATATTTGTATTATACAGATGATATTTGTTGTTGTCTAACTCTTCGCACTTGCTTCTATCTCGTCCCCTCTCACTCGTATCGATATTTGTGTATGTGTAAAAAGGAAAAAAATACGTTGGAAAAATTCAAATCACATAGATTTATTGTAACCAATGATCATTAGAATCTCATACAAAGGCGTTCAATTGTATGAACGCGTGTTTACATATAAATATACACTAAATAGTCCGATTATTGTATATATACTCGTCTGTGATGAACTCTTTAAATGTATGACTTTCTTGGATATACTCCCAAACAAATGTAATATTTAACAAAATTTCATTGTTCAAAAAATGACTTAAATATTTACATCTAATGGGTTTGACAAAAAAAAAAAATAGAATATGCCACGTCTATGACTTTTAGATACTTTGTTTATAAATATGAATTAGCTTCGACATGCCGAAGACTGTGCTACAAAACCTGTGCAATTGCCCAGATTTCATTATACTGCAGACACAAATCGTACATTTAATTAGTCGTCGTCCTATTCTGAGTTTTTCAGTCGTCATTAAAAGCAAAACAATAAATTAGGTTTACATAGTTTGAAAGTCCCCAAATATACTACAAATTAAAAAACATAACTAAAAATATAAATGGAAAATCAGAGTCAAGGATAAGCAGACACACCCACTTGTTGCTTATCATTAAATTTGATTTTGTACATCGAATCTTGTACAAATACGGATATCAGTACATATTTTACTTATGGGTCAATTGAATAATTGTTCGTTCGATATTAATAAATTGTAGCTTTGGTTGGCAGCGTTTACTAATTTTGAGCTAATTTACAAATGATTCAATTGCTTTTCTTAACGTCTTTACTATCGCCATCCTTGGCCTGGCCACGTCCCAAAATCTTGGCCAAACTATCCCAAATACCACCAAAGAAAATTGCACAGCACAAATTTTCCAATGGAAGGAAGGGATCATGAATGCCCAACAAGATGGATGACAACTTAAAGTACACCAAGAATATAACAATGCCAAAGTAAACTAAGGCGTGTGGCGCTGAGATCCAATCGGTCTTTTTGTCCAGCACGAAGATAATGGAGGCTAGCAACGATGCTTTCGTATAGCTGAAATAAACCAAAGTGTTCAATCATAAAAACGAAGAATATAGATCAATTATTAGCTTACAATGATGGCTGCATGAATTCCATTGCCGTCGGTGTCCATGCGCCTCTAATGAGGCGCTCAATCAACTTAGTGAAACCAGCGCCGTTGCCCTTCAGGGTTCCGATTATGATCATAATAATCCACGCGTTTGGATACAATTTGGCAGCATGTCCGACGCCATCGTACACTTTCTTTGCACGGTATATTTCCTTCATGGCACTGGCGACAATTTTCACTGGCAGAAATTTGGCCACCTTGTATCCAATATCAAAGGGTGTATAAAATACCAAATACCTGCAAAAGCAATTATCCAATGCTACTTTATGCATACACACTAAATATAACAGTGACTTGAGACTAACCACACAGCTGTGCCCACAAGGAGCTGTCCGGTGTTCTTCAATGGAGCCAATATGGGCTCCCCCAGTAATCCATTAGCCACCATGCCGCCCGCAAATATCACCAGCATTGTGGATAGCCAACAGGCCAGTGGATGCTTCCTCGAGAAGGCCTGAGCGTTGGCGCCTAAATCCTCGCGCACGGCCAGCGCGGCAAGTAAACTGTGCGCGATATCAAAGAACGGAAACATTTTTAGCTTGATGACCTGATTGGCCACATCCAAAAACGCTTCCGGGTCCATGATCACAGCCGATCTTGTATCCTGCCTTCACGGATGATATTCTGAAAGTGCAAATTGTTCAATAATATAATATTAGTTGGATGCTTTGAGTGCATACTGAATGCATATGCCCGAAGTGTCGATAGCTCGGGGAATATACAAATAAATACCCAAAATGGGGTCACATTCTTTGAAAATTGCAAATATGATTAACAAGCACACGAATAATAATAGTATTCAATATTTGTTGGCTTTCAAATGGTTTTTCTTTAGACTCACAACTGCGTTAATAATTATACTTTTTGGGTTTTACAAACGTTATATAATTATAGACAAATTCAAGCAATAACTTGCAAAATTTGTACAAAAATTCGTATTTAACATTTGCGGCATACAAAATAAAAGATGCCCATGTAAGCAGATATACAACCATATGTATATTATCTAAATATGTGTACATACACATAGATTCAAATGCACTTGCTCTGATTTCTTACACTTTTTCTATTGCAGATTCAATTGAAGCACTTTGAACCCGCAGTCGTACCGAGATGTAGAAGTTGTCGAATTGTATGTTAATGTCGAAAAACATAAAAACAAATTCTAAGTCTAAATAAAAATGTCGCTGCTTTGCCAGAGCTCCAAAAATAAATTTCGCTGATGAATCGGCGAGGGCTGTAAGAGGCGCGCGCACCGGGTCCGTGCCTGCCCGCGCCTTCCCGCGCGCGCCAACGTCCGCCCATCCTCCCGCTCATCCGTTTCAACGTATTTTCTTGTTTGTGTGCATATGTACACACTGCTAGCTGGCGCCGACTATTTTTGAGCGGCGAAAGTTTGGAGCGATGTGTATATACATGCACATACACATATATACATGTACATATGTATCTGCGCAATTACAGGAAGCATCAAAGATTTCCATCTACTGTCCACTCGCTTTTCCGGTTGTGTCTCCTTTGCCCAATTATTGTATAAATCATTTTTTATTTACCAAAACTTGCAGCAATATGCGCACTGTGCATACAACTTTCTTAAAAACATACATATGTATATGTATATCTATATATACAGCAAGAATAATTATAAATAATCTAACAAATTACCTACGTCTACACGCGAACAACGGATTGCTGAGTGCAGCACGAGCACGGGGAGACTGGGCTCGAAGCTGGCCCGTATATTACATGCTCATGTCGTTTCGATAATTCTACTTTGCTCTCAGGAATATGTTATATATTTAGAATCCGTGAGTTTTTGTTCAGAGAAACAAACCACATATTCGCATGCATGTGTGCGTAAATAGCTGATTAGACAGACGGCTAAGAGGACTGTGTCTCATAATTGGAAGTTTCGGTGTACGTGTATGTAAGCAGAAAGGTGCATGCAAGAATATATATTGATATATATACATATATTTATACATGCATACATATGTATACTTCTTGTGACACGCAAAGGAGATGCTTTTGCCCGGCTCACTTAATAATTACATATGTATGTATGTATATTATTTTTCAAATCGCAAACAGTGGTCACATTGTTCCTTAGCTACTTCTTGTGCTTATCATGAGACCGATAAGAATTGAATTTACTTGGGGTAATCGATAGGTTTTGCGCTGGACTTAATCGATACATCGATGTCTTAAATATCAAAATTGTTAATGTTTTTTGACATCACTAACTTACTGTATTTTTTGTGTTTTTACAAATTCTAATTAAAACTTTCAATACTTCAGCGAACTCCTTTTTACCAAATCCGTCCAAACAAGACAGAATCTCGGCATAATTTGTAAACAAATCCACAAACGCTTCACAAAAACATTTTAAATAACCAATATATTTACATATATATATGCATACATATGCATATTGTTTGCACAAAATCTGGTGCATATCTTACATTGCCTTTAACAATAATATAAAGGCCCCACGACGAAGAGGTAAGTGCAGTTCATTTGACATCGCTACTCGTGTTTACAAAAAAGTATCAAAAGCAAGTTTCTGCTTCATTATATTGTTAATTTGCACCCAGCAAACATATGTATGTGCGTATGTTTGTATAAAAAAGCCATTGACCATGCACGCTCACACAACCCACACGCACGCACACACACACACACACACACTAACGTACACACACAGACACATACGCACTTTTTGTGAATCTTGGCTTATTTGGTAAAACTGATTTGCACAATTTAAAGGTCGCAGCATTTGCAGGGGAATTTAGGTGAAGGATAACGTAACGTATTATGGTTCTAATCTGGGATAAATCCCGCAAATTCTGGTATTAAGTAATTTATGCACATAAAGCACATTCAAGCTATCGTATTTGTCAATTACTAAACGTCAACAGTGGCAGATATCGTATCACGCACATATATGTATGCATGTATGTATGTATGTGTGTGCTTGCAGCAACAACATCAACAATTGCGAAAATAGAGAGTTGTGTTGTAATCACATTATAAAAGCTAAGTGGCAATTGTATCGTACATACATAAATAACTAATTGATTGATCAAGTTGCCACAGGAGCAAGGAGCCTGGGCCCAATTTGAATGTACACGCGTGCATGTGAATATATATTTGTCTGTGTCTGTGTGTTGTTTGTATGTATGTAATGTTTGAAACGGGGCGTTGATTTTCAGATGGCTTCCAATTCATCTAAGAAAAACAAATCGTCTGGTTTGCGCATATTGTGGATACCAGGACGAAAAAGCCATCCGAAAGGTCGATTGAGTTCTACAAACAAACACATCTCGTATTCGCCCACCCAAAAGAAAAGCGAGGTGTGGACCTTGGGCGGCAGCAGGGCCCAAACTGAACTAATTGACTTGTGAGTATATTGCAAATACATATTTCCTTCAAAAAAAAAAAAAAAAAAGAAACAGACACGTACTATATAAATCAAAGAGATGAGCGACCGCAACATTAAGCACATACTGTTGACAATCATATATGTATGTAAGCTAACATATAAAAAACATTAGCAGGCCAAGCCAAACTTCAAATGTTTTAACTGTGTTTTTGTAACTATTTTTTTTTTTTTTTTTTATTTATTTATTTTTTTTGTAGTAAGATATATAATATTTACATACATACATAGCTTCGATGCTGAAGTGAATTGATTGTATTGTATTATAGATATTTGATACGTTTATCACATAATATTTTAGGCCCTCGCCGGAAATCAACGGTGCTTCGACATCATCATTGGCTCTATTGGGCGCCATGTCCTCAACGCTTGTGAAGAGTGTAAAGGGGGATTCCCTGAATCGTAATAACATAACACCAGATGATGCCACGGCTGTCTCAGAATGCGCCACACTGCCAACAACTCCAGTTGCCGCAATATCTCCAAATTTAAATAGTCCACTCTCGGAGCTGGCTCCGTCGACACCCTCAACAACCTCAACAGCAATGGCATCCCCGATTGTTGTGACAACAGTTGAAATTCTTGATTTAGTAAGTCTGAGAGACATACATATTTAGCTAAATTCTGATCTTCTGATCCTGAAACAACAGCACAATATTTTAAACCCCGATGATTTGCCGAAGGTGCCATCAATCGGCGAAACAGATTTGTCCACATCGGCTGTCGTATTAAATAGCTCAGCAGGAACAACAGCTTCGATAACCACCAATTCATCTCCATTAGCAAACCGCAAAGCCCACAATCAGCCAGCGGCCAACAACAGCTCGCCACATAAGAGCAGATACAGGAACCACAACAACAATCAGGTTCATTAAATTGAGATCGCGGTTTAACAATCAGACTATAATTTTTGTTCTTTCTGTAAGCAGGATGATATAAATTCCATCGAGAGTATTTCCAGTTTTAATAGAAATCAGGTAAACGCAAATTTCGAATGGATTGATGATATGGTGCAGCAACGCAACTGTAGTGAACTGATGCACAAAAACAAACGTAAAAAATCAAAAAAATTGGTAGATGCCAAGGAATCGGATCAATTGGATGGCCGTAAAATCAAGGAAAAGCAGGGATTGGCACCTTACGAGGACAATGACGAAAAGGTGGTTAAATGTCTCTATTATTCTCTCATGTGCTGCGACTGTACAATATCATAGATATAGATATATAGTAATAAAGATTCAAACAAAAAGCGCATATGCACGTACATATGCCAGTGTATGTAGCTTAAGAATGTATGCATTTAAAAACAACCTGCTCAAATATTTTGTATGTATGTATGAACTTGTACATTTTTATACGGAACAAATGATAATTTGCCTATAAGTCTGTGTATACGTACAAATCCATTATTCGAAATAACCATGACCAAGTATTCCATTTAATATTAATTTGTCAACATTTGAAAATGAAACGAATTTATGCAGCGCACACATTTCCAACATAGCCAAAACCGTAATATCGAAATATATCTATATAATTGAAGTTTTTGAATTAATTTACCCAGACATGCAACAGATATGTATTATATGGCTATTTGATATTTTTTTTTTATATACACATGTATATTTTCCTGTAAATAAAGTGAAAGCATTTGTTTTCTATTTATACTTAAAAATAATATTCAAAATAAAGTGAATATCATAAGCAATTGTCACTCATTAGCATTTGCATACTCTAACATCATCATCATCATAATCTACATACTTATGCATATGCACATGCATACATGCAACCATACCAAGTTCCTTTCAAAACGGATCCTGTTGCACAGGATAAGTACAACAAAAAAAAAGAGAAAAAAAACATATTTTTGTTCAACTTGACATAACATTTTTCATAAAAATTTAATACAAACATTAAATTTACAAATATATATATATATAAAAACAATTCACAATCACATATAAATTTTTATCATTTCGGATGTTAAATATTTCGATTCGCTATATTCCTCAAGTAAGGTTAAAATTTACTAGTCCAGAGCAAGAAATTCAGGATCAAAGTTGTTGGTGTTGCTGTTGCTGTTGTTGCAATTGTTGCTATTGGTGCATTCACATTCAATTTATCAATGAATCAGCTATGAACAATCTTACTATTCATTCGGCTAGTGGTTGCCTGATTCATATACGTGGGACTGCTACATTCGGTGTGGTTTGTGTTTGCATTGCGTTGGGTATCGAATTTAGATTTATTCACACCCGCACCTTTACAATGAAACTCGACCGCATCAATATCATTTGTACTTTTAATAAAAAATTCGTTTCCATTCATTGGACCATTGGGTTCGTAGACGACCTTCTTAATAGCCCTAGTGTGGACATCCAAATCATCATCCGTATTATCTTCCGTATCGTCGCCGTCGTCACCCACATTGAATATAAATCTAGCTTCATTGCTCGGATCGCTTTTCCGACCACCCGATTTGCTTATTATTTTCCTATACCGAACCGAATTCCTCGATACATGATTACTATTGCGCTGCAAGTGAATAAAGAAAATAGTCGGAGTCAGATTTGGTTGTACAGAGACTGGCAGAGGAAACGAAAATTGTTTACCTGTAGAACGGCAAATATTATGGAGAATATCGTTATGATTAACAAACAGATGGCAACCGCAATTGCTGTGATCGCAGTCAGTGGTGAGTCGAGACGCAAGGCAAATGAGCCACTGTTGCCCTCATCGTTAATTGCTGCTCGATCCATGTTTCTAAAAATACTGTCGGATCCCACCACAGTGCGGCGCTTGCCAGCTGTTGAGACAGTCTTACATTCACCTGAAATGCAAATGTAAGTACAGCTGTTAAAGCAACCAAAACACATTTGATTAATAATGTTTACCTGTGTCTTTGTCGCAATGACAACAGTTTTCAGATCCAGTTTCATTATCGCCAGCGCTTTTATTCTGACAGCACGGCACACATTGGCTATTCAATTGATCCAAATGAAGCGGAGGAGCGCATGCCTTACACGAGTACTGACCGGGGCCAAAACACGAACGGCACGATTCGTGGCAGCTCTTGCACGTCTGTGTTGTTGTATCATAGTACTGGGAACTTAAGCATTCCATGCAAAGGCCGCCATCGAGCATAAAGTGTGTGGGGCACGATGAGCACGCCAGTGGACCAGCACCTATAATATACATGCATTTCGATTATAATTCGTCCTTAAACATGAGCATGGCACAACCAACCGTTGCAGGTCTTGCAATAGTGATGACATTTCTGACAGCCGAAATCCGATTTGTAAAATCCCTCGGGGCATTCCGGATGGCATTCGCCTGCTGCTAGCTGCCAGCCAGCCGGACAATGCACGCACTGATTACGACGCGGTCCGCTGCATGTGTGGCAACTGAGATAACACTTGGCACAGATACCGCGATCGCTGTAGTAACTGCATTAATGATGGATTACATGTGGTAAATATTTCATTAATTCTGTTGTATATTGTGTCAATTACCCATCGGCGCACGTTGTGCGACATTCGCCGTTCTGCAGTTCGAGTCCCTTGGAACAGTTGCTGCAATTGGTGCGGGATACGCACTGGGTGCAGGTATGTAAACATGGCGTACATACGCCTGTTTCCATGTAGAAACCATCTTGGCAGCCACTCACGCAGCTGCTCTGCTCTAGCAAGCGATTCTGATGACAAGACAGACAATTGGAAGACATTGGTCCGTTGCAGGTCTCGCAGGAGTCATGACATGGATTGCATTTGCCCTCACTTTGGCTATAGTACTCGGCTGCATTTAACAAGGAATATGAACGGGGTAAGAAACAACTTTACTAGTCGAAACACATTAAACCTACATTCAAAGCAGCTTTCACTGCCGGCTACAATGCATTTGTCCTTCTTGTTGAGCGTCCAATTGGGTAGACATTCCGTACAGATGCCATTGCTACTGCACGACTTGCAGCCCTCATGGCAAGGCAGGCACTCCAGTCGCTTTTTATCGGCATAGAAACCATCGGGGCAGTTGTTTAGGCATTTGTTCTGCCAGGCATAGCGGCTGGGGCGGCAAGTAATGCAATTATTTTCGGTAGCTCCGTTGCATGTAGCGCACGAGGAGTGACAGTAGGTGCATCTGCAAGTGATGCAAGAACAAATCTCAGAATAAATATCAAAATGACCAACAGTTGAGTCGTGCCGATCTTACTTGTTCTCCTCCGTTTCGAATGTGTTCAAGGGACAAGCTGAATAGCATTTGTTTTCATGCATAACGAGATGATGATCACAGCTGGTGCAATACTCGGGACGGTCTTGACACGATGCACAGTTCGGCTCACATGGCACACATGTCCTATTCTTCACATCTATAGAGAAGACAACAATATTAGCAACTGTTAGCGTTATTTAATGCAGCAGTTGCTGCCACTCACACCCACCTTCAAAGTAACCGTCGGGACAAACTTGCAGACAAACAGCGAGATCAGTAACATGCAAGTGTGCTGGCGCGCATGTCAGGCAACTGTCCGGTCCAGCTCCTGCGCACGTTTCGCAGGAATCATGGCATGGCCAGCATATGCCCACTTGATTTGGAAAAGAACGCGGCGGGCAGCGGCTAACGCAAGTGCTGCACATGCAAATGTTAGAAAATATCAAGCAATAAGTGGGCGATAAGAAAAAACTACATTTTGCATGCCGAAATTTCAATACTCTATCAGACTATTTGTGCTGAACGATAGCCTGGTTAAGAGCTAGGATGCTCAGCATTTGCAAATATCCATCCAAAAGCATATACAATTGATGGAGAAGTTAGTATAAATCCTTTTTGAATTTCACAAGTTGAAAATCTACATGTCTCAAACTGAGGAGCAGCCTCCGAGCAGACGGACTTAATAAGATCAAGTCTGATCAAGAATATATATATGCATACACCAGGTCCCTTTCTAATGGGAACATAACAGTTGCAGCATTATAACTTGAAATGTTAATCAATACAATTAAAAAGAGATCTGCAATTACATTAAGGCTAGGTTGACAATTTGTATAGTTCGCTTACTTATCCAAACGATAATGGCTGCATGCCACACACTGTGTGGGTCCACGGCCGTAGCAGCCAAGGGAATCGCACTCGGCATCACAGGAATATAATATGAGCTTGTTGTCTCCATTGGGCAGTGCGTTCGATAGCTGAGCCGATGTTGTGGTCGACACATTGTGTCCGTCTAACGTGGCAGTTGCCACCTCTGGACTGGAACCGGCGCTACTGAATATGTTTTGGTAGTTGAGATAGCTGGCAAAATTGTCCGTGTTAAAGTTGCCACCTTCGTTGGCCGGCTGGCCGATATTGGAGGCCGATGAGAATATAAACGGATTGTTCGCAATGGGACTGTTGCGTAGTTGCGTATTCAGCAGCTCCGATTTGAGTCGCATAGGTTGCGTTGAGGTGCCATAGAAGATCAGCTGCCATTTGGATAGAATGCCTGGCTGATTGACGCGACGACGACCGCCGTTGATCACCTGCAGTGTCCAACGACCCTCGGCCTTTTCGCCCCAGTAGTGTACACTGAGGAATGGCCAGTCATCAAAGTTGGATTTAACAATGTCACGCGGCCGCTCGAAAAGCAACGTACTCGTTGTGCCCATGGGCGAGGTAAGCAAAATACGCAGATTGCCGCGCGGAAAGAAACGTAATGTGATACGACACTGGACATGTTCCAAATAGCGCACCTCATTAATGGTGCCGGCGCAGCCATTTACGTCCATGTGCGTTGCCAGAGTGTAGCCGTAGGCACCTTCTATTTTACGATCCTCATTGTTCTCCCGCGATTTGCATATGTGCTGCGGCGGCACCGAATTCCACTGTTCAGCAAGGGCAACCATAGCACCCGCATCCATCAAACCGTAACCAAACTTATGGCTATACTTGCGCTTTACACCGTTCAGCGTCCAGCCGCTCTCCTTTTCGAGTGGGCCCGGTCGCGATGTGTACACCACCAAATATTGCATATCGCGCCATGTTATACCCGGATTGGCCTCAAGCGCCAGGGCGCATATACCGGCCGCTAGCGGCGCTGATGCCGATGTTCCAGTGTGCTCCACCGTGCAAATGTGGTCGGGACGCAGGCGTCCGTCCATGTCTACCGTGGCCACGCTCTTGTCATGTCCCGGCGTTCCCGAGCTGTACGTTGTCGCCAGCGTTGAGGAACACTCTTCCAAATACCAGGGCTTAAAGCTGAAATGTAAAATGTGGATAAGTCAAAATGTGGATAGCCATTCGAGCTTGTATAATGCATGACCCCTTACCCAGCTTGCGTGGCACTCGATATGGAAAGCGTGAATATGGAATTGGTGTAACCATCGCAGTTACACGAGTCGGTATAACGGCCACCGTTGCCAGAGGCCCACACAAAAATGGAGCCCTTGCCTTGACGGCCGCTGGTTACACCATAGATAAAGGCACGACGTGCTAATGGACCGGGCCCATCGACCGTGGAGCCGTCATCCTCTGGGCCCCAAGATGCACTATATATGTCGATATGCGATGGATTCAAACTCAAAGCCTGCGCCTCAACCACATCATTGACTTTGCCATCCAACATGCGAACGCCTGCAAACCAAGATATTAATGTATCCATATGCATAGATATTACAACGACGATGTGCGATTAAGAATGTAAGCTTACGTACGTACAAGATCTCTGCCACTTCTCTAACCGCTGAGAGCATTGAAGAATACAACTATGATCATTATAATATGGTCAGGAAGGACCGATAAGGCTATGTCCGCCTGTCTGTTACTATGCGAACTAGTCTCTCAGTTTTTCAAGATATTTTAACCAAACTAGGCTGTGTCGGGCAACACTGCCGCGTGTCGAAGACAGTGATTCCTTCGTTTTATTATTATTGCTATTAGTTAATATTTCTGTTTTTCTTAATATGACCGTCAACCTAACTTTTAAATAGAAGTGGCTACTGAGCCCAAGCCTGGAAAGCGATCCTGGTCACTAGTTGTTTAGTTAATTTGGAAACTATGTCGTTCAGATCATCTGCACAATTTCTATATAAACCAATCCCAGATATCTTTTGTAGCGACTATATTCCCTACTCGTGCTGTCCAAGGTAATACCAATTGCTGCTAACTATGCTTACCACCAATGCTGGCATTATATGCCACACCCACACCGCAGTAGTTGTTAAAGGCGACCGCAGCCACTTCTCCAGCGCATCTTGTGCCGTGTTTATTGTCACCGTTGTCCTGCGGCGTTGGATCTGAATCGTTGCCATTAATATCAAAGGAAGCATCTGGATCCTAAGAAATTAAATTTAATTATTAAATAAATTAGAATAGTTTAAGTACACGTTTTGCACTTACATAATTTTGAGCCAGATCCGGATGGTTGGTTTGAATTCCGTCATCTAGAATGGACACAACAACACCTTTGCCAGTATAGCCCTTCTGCCAGGCAGGACCAATATTCATGTCAAGGCCATCCTTAGCTCCGCCATTCTATAAAAGAATTCATCATTAAAATACATATGTATTAACTTTTAGCTAATTGTTTTCAAAGTGGTTGTCAAAGCGTCAAGTGAAGGACTCAATGATCAATGGATGCGCTTCCTACTTGATCTCGCCTCGGGTTAGACAATGTGTATATGTGTGTGTAATGCATATGTTCACATCGATGCCCATGCGCTAAATGAATTGCATTTGATCAACATTTTAATTGAACGAACAACCCATTGAGAAAGAGGAAGAGATTTGTGCAAAAGTATTTAACAGGCAGAACGTGACATTTCTGACTCAGCACCAAAAGCCGTCCACCTTTCCGTCCATATGAACTTGTCCTTCTGGGCGGCCATAAGAACTGCACATGGATATTTTCAATGCAAGTCCTCCTTGTGCTCGCGCAGGTTAAGAAACAAGGCGCGGGTTTATTAGAATTTTATGCAAGTATTTCAAAGAATTTACTTTGATTTTCTTGAAATGCTTGGCACAACACATGCATAAATTTTGATCAAATGCAAACAGCATTGGCGGTTTAGCCGCACATGGGATATCGATAATGCACATACAGATAAGATGAAAGACGGCATGATTACATACTTTACTCACCAAATACCACTGTTCCTTAAACAACGGATCGGAGAATATGAGGTGTGAGGTGACGTCGCGGTACTCGAGGCGCGGCGAATGGGTTCCCACCAGCGATGATGTTAGCACAGGGTCTGGGGAATATGAAAAATGCGTATTCGTATGCGGATCGATAAGGTAGTCATTAGTCTGGCGCAAAATATTGTACGGACTGTAGGTGGGTATGTCTTGATAGGGGCCATCCCGTTTTCGGCGGATCTTCTCGTGTTGCTGCTGCAGCCATTTAACCTGGAAAAAAAAAGCAAAGCAAACGTCAATCAAGCGGGTAATTAACCAAAAACCAAAACATTGAAGGTCAGACAACATAAATCAAGGTGTCCGCTGGCTATCCACTCACCTCGAACTCCGACTTTAAGGCACTGTGATGTTTGCGACTCGAACGAAGCGAACGCTTTGACACACGATGATGCTGAAACAGATAATAGTCGTCAAGGGCGCCAATCTGTGAATGATAACAATGTTAACAATTATGAGTGCAAATGCATGTACAACAACTCCATACCAATTAATTCAATTGATGTGAATGTATTTTTTTCTTTTTTTTCAACCCTTGCAGAGATAACAACTAAAATGAACTGTCTGCAAAGAAGTCGCACACTATTCATAGAGAACGTACTTGAGTCTAAGTCGGACAGATCTAGTTATATATATCATATATGTAGCTTCTATAGTTGGTTGGGATTTTGATATGATGCCCATCCCATATGATTAACAACGGACTTCTAAATCATATACATTCGATAGGAACTATATTCAACAAATATACACTGTTGTGGATCTTTGTCTGCAAGGGTATTTAAACTTCGGCTTACCGAATTGAACGGTTTCTTTCATTTTCATATTCATTTATAATTATTTGGTTGTTTTTTTTTTTTTGGTTTTGATTATTGTTCATGTACCTGTCCCTTATTGGTGAAGCCGTACTTGCCAGCTATGCTATCTGCCACATATTTGCCAGCAGGTATATGCACGGCAAACTCATTTGTATAGATGGGATCGTCGGGTATGCTATACGCACCAAATATATCAATATCGTCTAAATGATGCTTCTCAGTCTGTTCAACGTTCTTCTCCGTTTGCTTCTTCGCACTGGCGTTGTTGGTGTTATTGTTGTGAGTATTACTAGCCTCGGAGTCAGTCTCAGCGATGATCAGGGCTGGGTGTTTACTTTTACGATTCCCAGTTAGTTCTGTTTTACTGTATTGTTGATATTTCGAGTAGTTGTTGATTGGGTAGAATTCACTGGCGCTCTCGTTAATACGGAGTATTCCAGCAGAATGTTGAGTTTTGCTTACGCTTTCAATATTGTTATTATTATAATAATTATTAATAGAATTATTTGTAATATTATTATGAAAAGCAGCACTAGTATTTCTTAGACTTAAAATTGCTAAAACTAATACAAAATATATACAGCTTGTTGCCATTCGATTACATTTGCGTAAGTAGATTCTTCTATTGAGTTTTACATATGGATGGCATCTGCTGGCCGTCCCTTTGCCCGGCTTTTTAGAGCAGATGTTGATAGACAATTGATTGGGTAACGTTGATCTCGATGTTGCCGATGATCTATCTGCTTCTGTGTCTGCTTCTGCTTCTGCTTCTGTTTCTGGTCGCAGGTTGTTGTTGTCGTTGGCGCAATCAGTACACGTACGCTCCACAATAAATGGTAATTCGACGGTTCTTTTGCCAATGCCTATATCAAGCATATTTAACTCTGTTCGGCTCTGTATTTATTTGTATTTTTTATGGAGACAGCTTCCCGGAATCTCCTGCAGGGCCTTCCTATTCTGTGTGTAGGTGTGTGTGTGTGCCTGTCCTCCAGATTTCATGTATCTTCATAGGTATAACTGCCTTTCTGGATTATCTGCATTAATCAATAGATACATATATTATTATTATAATTACTATTATTAGTCATCATGCGGTCTGCTTGGGCCGTTTTCCATTTAAAGTTAAACGATCGCACCTTCACCTGACCCCCACCCCCTGATTGAAGATCTTTTTACCGCTTTTAGTTGTTAAAAAATAAAATTAAATAAACAACAAAACCAATATCAGTCGCCGGAAACGTGATTCACGCTCCAACACACACACACACGCACACTCAAGCAAACGGTTTTACATAGAGTATCATGGCTTTTGGCCTCTTAGATTTGATTTGTCGAGAACACTTTTTATTTATTCAATTCTTCTGAGAGCAGCATTCGTTAACGTTTTCGTGTCAGTCAATTTCGAATATAATTACAACCAACAATGTACACTAAGAACACATATTCAATTCCATTTAAGTGATTCCCCAGCTCGTGATCTGTAAATGCATACAGATAAATAACACATACAAATGTATGTACATATTTGCATGTGCGTGTGTGTGTGTGTGTGTGTGTGGTGCTTCCCAATTGAAAGCCGTATGTAAACAAGATAAAAAATATTCGAATACGACTTTAACTATTTGAACGTATATCTACATATATTATTCATTGTTTGTTTGTTTTTTTTTTTTTCACCATTTTAACAGATAAATTCCCACTTAATGCAATAATGATCCTCACACATATATGTATGTATGTATATGCATGAATGTGGGTACATATGTAAATTCCGTATTATTCTTCTTTTATGAAGAAAAAAAAAAAAAAGAGTCAAGCTGAAGCCAGGTACATTACGTACATATACGATTAAATACGTCCAGGCATGTAATACGTGCTTGATTTATTTCAATTTTGAATAAAAATACGTTTTCTTAATATTGATTATTTGATTTTCTGGGGTGTCAACATTATGCTTTATGCATGTACACATACATACATATGCAGGCACGTTTGAATGCACACATGTATGTGTGCATGTATGCGCATGCATTATGATGTATCGCAATTGAAACAAGTATGTACTTTGTGCATGCATATATGCATATAAACAATTATGGGAATAAACCATATTACATATTGATTCCGATTCCGGTTTCTATTTCACTGTGCCATTCGTTTATACAGCAACAAATCATGAATATATACATGGGTATGTATGCATGTGCTAATAGTTCAAAACATGCTCATGTATTTGTTTTCTTTTATTATAAATTCACACACGTTCATTTTTGCCAGCACTTAATCACTGATTTTTTTTTTTTTTTTACTGACATATGTACAGTAAAATATATCGCACTAAAAAATAAAAAAATGAATAAATCAAGTTGCAATAGCATTATGGATACATATGTATGTATGTAAGTGTGGGTGAATCGTGCACAGTGTGTACATACATACAAACGTACCTATGTATATGAACAACTCCTAATTATATGTATGTAAGCGCGTAATAGTTGGCACTGCATTTGGCTGTATGTATGTACATGCATATATATGTATTTGCACCATTAAGTATATACACATTTATGTATAGCATACATACATCGCTTTTTCACAGAGACATCCGCATGTGTATGCAACAAACAATGTAACATAAATGCATTCATACATATTATATATGCATGTATGTGTGAGTTTATGTTGCAGTCACTTTGTTAAATGTCTTTTTATTTAACCAAAAGTAGTTTATCAACACCACTGAAGGAGAACGTGCTTACCATGAGGAACTAACCGAACGGAACGGAACGGAGCGGACCGACCGAACGAACAAACGACGCAACCTCGACTGCGCTCCAGCTTAAACTGAACTTTATTTTGAAGTTAATACATATGTACATCGATACGTTCATGAGTATGAAACGTACCTACATACATACATTCGCATAGCGTTGACTATCTCTGCTCACTCGACTCGACTTGAGCTAGTGGTAGTACGTAAGTACGTATATATGTACATATGTATGTATGTATGTATGTACGGCTGTTCGTGCGTTAATACTCATGAAAGCACAGCTTTGAGCTTTCAAAACAAAATAAAATGCAAAACATAACACGCAACCGTGCTGTAACAAAATCCAAACTAATTAGTATTACGTATGTACATATTTTTCAATACATGTGCACTTATAAATATACATACATATATGCATGTATGAAGGTACATATATACTAACAAATATAAGACATGTTTCGTATGCAGCTCAAAGCCAACTTACCTATACACATGCATATGAAGATGTGCGCACACATACGTATGCGTATGCCTCTATCTCTCTCAGAGCTGACATTCAAAGAGGTAGCGTCTGCTAAGCAAGGTTTTTTTTTTTTTTTACTGGCCAAACAAGATACACGTTAGCGAATTGTGTTTTTTTGTTTGCCAAATGTACACAAATAAATATTAATAACTTTAAACACTTATTTTTTTATGGATGTATATTGTACAATCGTTAATAAATGAACATTTAGCATTTGTGGGTGCATGCACGCAGGTTTGAGGTGGCGGTGCACAGGGTGACAGGGTGACACAAAATTCATACATAGCTTGTCCTTGTTCCAAAGTGGTTCATCCTGTGCACAGCTGATTTGATGTTGCGCATCCGATTGTTATCGAATGAATGTTATGAGCTGACCCATAGCGGTTGCTACTGATAAGACATCCATGTTATGCATATTTGGCACATTATTTATATAATATTTTATGTATGGAAACCATCTCAAATTGTTGTTTCATTTTGTTACCTGCTGCCGTTAATATCAGTCACGGCCAAAGCGCGCACGCCCGCAAAAACAGGCGTAAATAGATACATACATACATATGTATGTATGCATGCGCTCAGAGAGCATCTCGTTTCACGCTCATTCTCCTCTACGAGCATCGAACGATGAAACTAAAGAAAAAAAAAACAATTAAAGCGGTAGTGCGGTTTAAACTAAGCACAGCACAGCACACCATCGCAATGTACATACATACATATATGCATGTTTTTTTTCTTCTGCATATGTATGTGTATGTGTACGTATTACATGTGTAGGAGAGAGAGAGAGAGCAGTGCAGATAGTTCGGCGTGATTGAATTGCGTCACATTTGCGATCAGTTTGAGTTTCCTTTTGTGGCCAGCATCCATTGACGGCGCCGGTAGCAATTGAAATACGGTTTTGTTTATGGGGTCTGTGTGCCAGTTTCATCAATCCGCTTCCGTCGTCTCGAAATTCGCAACTTGGCTTGGGGAATCTTGCGGGTTTGGGTTTGGGTTTGGGTTCCTGAAAAGCGTGGCCCATGGGTAGAAAACCATTTATTGCAAACATGAGTATTTTTGGGTTATTCAGAGTTTTATTTTCAATGTATGAAGGATTCAATAATTTTATGCTTGCATCAGCAAATATGAAACTTAAAATGTCCACTAAGGCGCATTGCTTCCCGTCTGTTGTCCTGGCTAACCTCGCTGATCCAAGCAAACTGCCCACGTTTTTCAGTTCCTGTAAACATAGAAATCAATAGAATCAGCCAATTCCAAGAATCTTAGTACAACATATATATATATAGAATCGCGCACAAACATTTGGCGACGTTCTGACCAAACAGAATTTGCATATCTTTCGAAATACTTCTCATAGAGAACAGATCGTGTGTTGAAAGGGATAGTGACGGAAAGGATAGATAGTATCAATTAGAAAGACAAAGACAAAAATAGAAGAAGAAAAACGACTACGAAACCCGTTTATTTTTTAGGATTGGGCTTACTTTCCATCAAAAATATGCAAAAGTATGGTAAAAAATTAAAGTTGAATGCGATTGTGGACTGTTAAACTATAAAGATATCAAAAGGAAGCGTATGGAGCATTATATTTTTGCCATTTTCCAAAGACAATTAACACAATGCAGAGCAGCGGCCAGTAATTACAATGGAGTTTTAAAGCACATACGAAGGGTTCCTCCATCCAAAAGAACTTTATTTTCAAAACCCCAGCTCAGATGTGTGTGTGTGTGTGTGTGTGTGTAGAGGTGCAAGGCAAATAACGATTAGTTTTGGGATTATACAAATCTGGGAATAGATGGTTCAGTCACCATAATGGGTTATAATATACTTGCTTTGCATATATCGTGATAGTTTGTGTTGATGTAGAAGATAAGGTTGCCAAATTCCGAATTGTTTGTAGCTCCGAAATCCAGAATTTACAAATAGACGATCACACAATAATTGTAATTGATATTTTAAGTATATAATTCACGAATTCTAATTAATAAACGATATATTTTAACGTTTTCCCCAATCGTCATACGTTGTTATGAGAATTTGTAGAGGAATCATCAGCTTAAAAATCAATCAGTCATTTTTTTTCTTCTCAATATGCTGCATAATTCACAAGTAGAGACGAAATCAGGTACGCAACTGTAATTCAAATTAGGTGAACTATATATAACTCTCTCTCTATATATATATATAGGGAGGTTACCAAAAGTAGATGCTTGAATGTATATGGAAAGTGACTTGAGAGGAGCTGGAGAAATTGATAGGTGATATATGTAGCTTTATAAACACCTCAATGATAACGCAGATTGTTTTTCTTTTCTACATGGAGTTTAAGTAGAAATTCAATTACTTGGAACCTAGAACTGCAATATTTTAATTATCGTGAGTGCGCGAGTTACGCGACAAACATCTGCAAAAAGAAAGCTACGTTTTGAGCAGGAAGGAAATTGAGATGTTCGGCATGCCGAAAATTTAATACCCTTGCAGACTTAAAACAAACTTTCGGTAATGATGTGAAAAGACGAGCTCAAATGCTTTATGCTTAATGAAACTGGAGGATTTTCGCTTTAAGGAAAAAAAAACAGATATCTGATATTCAAGCCGATCTTTAAGATACTTAATGTGCTGCTTGTTAAAAGCGGCAAGAAACTTATTTTCAGATGTTCGGTCCACAGCTCGAACAAATACCTCGGTTCGGTTCCACATGTGAATCGAGTCTTTTTTATGTTTGTCAATAACTATTTGATTTACTTATCGAATCCAAATTGATTCCACATATTCGAAACACAATTAACATTCAGGCAATTAACCATTATTAAAAAAAAAATGTTTTCTTCAGACTTGGTTTCGGCTCTTCTTTATTCATTCACGAATACCGCTTGAAGTTTGTTGTATTCAAATTCAGCACGCTTCAATTTTAAATACTCACTATTCATTCACAATATACTCGGACGGTTCTGTACCCTGTCAAGTACTACTCAGACTCCTTATAATTTAAGCACAGTATTCAAATACAGAGAATAGACAGACAACAGAAATGAATACATATAAAGACTTGATGCATAAATACATATTCCTATGGGTTTCCAAATACTTCGAAAGACTCGCTGCAAGGGTAAACACGCACAAATAAATTCATTCAAACGTTTCTAGAGACACATGAACACATAATATATAACTCAGCAGTTCCGGTTAGGCCCGGCCCAGTGTTAATTTGTGGCACATCATAAGAATTGCGAACCGTACATACCTTTTGCTAGTCGATTATTGACTCCAGGTAATTAATATTTCTTTTTGCTGGGATGTGTACACCCCTTCCCTTCTCTGTTGTGGCGAACGCCTGTACAGCTGCACATCATAAGTAGTTAGAGAGAGAGAGAGAGCGTTAATGCCCCAGTTTTCTGTTGGAATACTTGCTCCAAACTTTATCGTTAAAAAGAAACTTACATTGTTGCATATATTCGTAATTTCCCAAACAAATGTTGTTTGCCCGTTAATTTTCTTGGCAACCCTCCCTCGCCCAACCCTCCACCCCTTCAATGCTCAAGTCCTTGTTTTCATGGCTCATATTAATAATATTATGAACATGAAAAACCTTTGAACTTATTAATCAATAAATCATGCCCATATTCCCAACCATAAATTGTTCCAAAAAGTCGATGGCGCTTTGCTGCCAGAGAAAATTTATGAAAGAATATTTCAGTTAATAAACATTTATTCTATTTAGAGAAAAATTACCATCGATTTGGTAAATTACCCGAATCAATTTACAGACTTTTCAAAACTAGCCCCCCAAAGAAAATATATGTACGTAAAGCATGTATCAACATAATTCGGATTATGTTATTATTTACTTATTGTTTTTAAGCACAAGGATCGCCAATTGCTGCGATTTAATAATAAACAAACAAAATATACGAAACATAATTGTAATAGAGATATCAAATCCACATTGGAATAAACCAGAAGACATAAAGAAAAGAAATTGGAGCCCCAGCCAAATCAAGATTATGCATCTTCAGATCTTACAGATATATATATATATATATATATATATACCTGTTAAGATCCAGAGTCCCGTTCCATACTCACCATAATTGATTGATGTACATAACATTGGAGAAGATTAGATTATCTATGTATATATACATCGCATATACTTATATTTTAGGTAAACATGATCAAGACATGAATGCATTTTATGTATAATACAAAGAGATAAAAAAAAAAAATGTACTAAAGAAATTATGCTTTACATATAGAAGCTACTCAAAAATGTTTCATATTCAAATGTTAGATTCTATGTACCGCGGGGGTGGTTAAAAATTGCCGCCCGGATAACAAAAGTATTTTAATATTGCTTTCCATTTATGGCAATGTTTTATCTTGCACTCTCGGTTTTACTTTTATGTATGATTCTTTATTATAAGGACTTGACGATGACATATTTGACAAATAATTAAATCAAATCATAAAAGTTTTGGGTGCATCAGTTGATTATAGATTAAGTATGTTCCATAAGTTTTCTTGTTTTGTTTTTCTCTCTTTTTGTTTGTATTGTTTTGCAATGAATAATTCACTAAAAATAAGTGAAACGTGTCGAGTGTACTACGTAAATCGATGCATTCTGTCGATTTACGTATTATCCATACTGGTCCATGCATTATATCGGCTGTCTAAAAACGACGTCGTCCCCATGGAACATTATTTCCGCCATTATTTCCACGTTGATTGCCGCCTTGGTTCATATTGTTAACCCCAAATTCAAAAGCAGCGAAGGAGTCCTATTCGAGCAAGGAAAGTACAATTGTTCAATTGATTTGTTACTGTTTTTGACTGAGTAGAGGAACCCAATTATAAACCAAAAATTAATAAAAATGCATACTTAAAAAAAGATAAAACGCCCCCCCCAAAATCTTGTTAAACCCGCCCGCATACCCGCATATGCCATATGGCACGCTCTCAGATATATATATCCAGGCGTACCACACGCAAATGTCGGGCTGCTAAAAAGGATAAACATTTTGCGATTGTCCAAAGCCATTTAAAAAACCCACCCACTTGCATATTAATAGATAATGTTACAAATGCGGTTTCCATGCTTGAAAGCTTGGCACATTATCAGAAAAATGTAAAGCAATTTGACTTTAGCGAGTCACGCATAGAAAACAATTATATATAATATATACATATATATATATGTATATATAAACATATCACATATTTAGTTACTGAATGGGATTATGCTAAATACTAAGTTATACTGTTGCGAGAGATTACGCTAAAGACTATTGCTAGTCTGCCAGTTGAGGCATATATAAGATATATAAGTCGAGCCCCATCCCCCATTGCAGTTGCCGCCCTTTGAATTTTGCTATCTACATGAGTGAGAACAGTCATTGAAATTATATAACCATAAATGAGCGACGGCACAATGTAACTTTTATGTTATATTAATAGGCACAGGCCGCGCATCTGGTTCATATGGGAGTCGACCATATGCCATATGCTATATATAGCAGCTCACAATACTATGTCCTGTACGTTTACATACCTGCTGCTGGTTATTTGCACCGGGTCCGGCATTGTTGCCAGCCATGGACGAGTTGTTATTACCTGAATGCAAATACGATAAATGAATGATTACAACACTTTGCGTCAAGTGTCTGAACTCAAGGATTTACCTCTGAACACTTCGAACGGGGAGTTGCTATTGCCTCCGAAGTTATCAAAGTTTGAATTGCCAACGCCGCCGCCGCCGCCACCACCGCCGCCGCCACCACCGTTGCCACCGCCGAAGCCTTCCTGTTGATCAAGCAGCGAGTTTAGCTGCTGGGCCTGCATGAATAATGTGTTCTCCTGCTGACGACGACGCATATCCTCCTCCTGGCGCACCATACGGCTCTGCATTTCGGTTTGATGACGACGCATGGTCTCCTCTTCGCGTTTGCGCATTTCCTCGGCCTGTTTCTCGCGCATTTCCCATTCCAATTTCTTGCGCTCATTATCAGATTCGCGTTTTCTTAATTCTAAAAGAGTATACGAGTATTAGCTGCCGAGTTAAGTGTGCTGGCTAAAGATTAGGGATATGATGAGACCAGTAACCAGGCACCATCCCGAACGCCGCCTTGCCGCGGCCCATAAAACATTTCATTTTAAATATCATGTATACAGAAATATATATATATATATATGTACATTGGTAAATATACAATTTGTTAAGATAATGAAGGATTCATGTGGGAATGTTATATCTAGCATACAGTCATCTTTCGTCATTTGATATACATATATACCCACAAATGCTTTCTACAATAACAAAATGCTTCATCAGATATATTACGTTTTTTTTTTTTTTTTTGTGTTTTAGAATCCACCCGCCCCGATACACAAGGCTAGTATAGCCATGTGGCACATATCCCTAGTAAATGGTACAAACCACATTTTTTCTATTGTTAAAACCAAAGAAATTCCATGACTTCCCAAAATTGTACAAAGTATTGGGATGGTACATTAAACCATATAGACAAATTATTAATTATACTGCACTAATTCTGTTCCGAACAGATAAATCTCTATTAAGCACAGGCCATAGCCACTGGCTAAATCAGCAAAACCACAACAACAACACACAAAAAAAAGCACGAGAAGCTACTTGTAAGTCCACCAGCAACAACTTGCACACATGAACGATTGTTCAGCTAAACATCTAATAATATATGGGTGTTCCAGAAAGTCTATTATGGACAAAATTCAACATACTCAAAAATATATATATATACATAAAATATATTCGCCGAATTTACAACTCTCTTAAGGGTTTTTTCAATCTTTACAATTACTGGCTAACAGACATCTAATGTGTGCGTTTCTCATGCTCCTGAAACCCTATTTTTCAACAGCCAATAAAAGAACTTAGAAAATATATAGATCAACTGACGGTAATTATGATGCTCCATATACTTGGATAGAAAATGTTATGAATAAAATTTGAAGTAAATGATTAACGCAAAATAAAACAAAAACCATAACGTCTATAATGGCTAGTGTAAAATATACTAATGATATTTCATTTAAAATCTTGGGCTCAAGTTAGAGATATGCGTTTTTATGCATCAATGTAGAAGCAAAGCACTTCGATGTATAATCCGTTACGGATTTATGTTGATTTTATTTTATTTTATTTTTTTTTGCATTCAACATGCTTTTTAAAAAGCGTCGCTTGATTTTGTTTTGTGCGTAGCCCTGGAGGAATTGCCCATATATAAACTTATAAAATATTAAAAAATATATGTATTATGCTTAAATGTGGTTGCGCTACATCATATTCGACATTGCAAGAACGCAAATAATGTAAACACAAATCGAAGGTAAGTATCGTGAATGTGATTACAAAAGATAATAATAATAGTTTAAATGATTGACATATCGATGGACTCAAATGTTTCCCATTCATTGATTGTCCGAATCGATATATGATTCAAATGTATTAAAAATCGAAATATTGCCGGTGTGGCAATGCGATTAAAAAGTGAAAAGCTGAGAAACTATCGGTATGAATTTAGCCGATAGTTGATTGTTGCAATTCACAGCTTGGGTATACTAAATATTCACAGAATGTAAACATAAACATAAAAATGTCAAAATGTATCGATCAACAACAATCGATTTATCGATAATCGATATATTCAGATAGTTTTTGACTAAGCAATTGCTTTTATCGTTTGTTTTCCCCCAACTTCATCACACCAATTATATGTAAATCTAAAAAGCCTTAACCAACTATGAATTTGGTTGCGCTTTGTGAGTCGAGTTAAAAGTAGAGAATAGTTAAGGATAAGGAACGAAATGGACCTAATCCGTTATTATCGTTTCTCAGTGTTTTGAAGGTGGATCCACTTTTTGGATGGGGAACCACAGTTGAATAGCAGTAGAGATTGTTTAAAAACTTCGGCTAGCCAGAAGTTAAATATGTATTTGATTTAGATACTCGTATTACCCTGTTATACTAACCTTGACGCAAAAGCTCTGTTTCTTGCTCATAGCGAGCATACTCCATCTGAGCATCAAGTTTTTCTTCTTCCATTTTGAGCTCACGCTTGAGAGCATCTTGCTTGCTTTTGAATAGATCATGCAACTGTTTCCACCTGGAGCCGTACTCGTGCTCAAATGAATTTAGATCGGCGAAACGGGGCCCAACACTGCGCTCCTGATTGAACTCTTGCAGCTTCTTATTGAGGGCCTTCTCGGGCAATCCGTCGTTGTCATCGTTAACCTCCATCGGTTCCACCAAGCACGGACGCAACGAGGCCGTTAAAAAGAAGCATTTCTCATTGCACAAGCGCAGACAGGCGCTGGCCGATGATTTTTTGGCAAACTCAACGGTGCCCTCGCCCAAATGCTTGCCACGATCGTCGACTGTAATGCTGGCCCGCTCAATGGGCCCAAATATTTCAAAGGACTTGTAGAGCAGCTCGTTGGACACGAACGGTGTCAGATTGCTAACACGCAAAATGGTTGCGTTGGGGGCGAAACGGACGCGAAGCTGGCGACCCTTACGCATTGAGCCGTCTAAGGCGCGCTTGGCCTTTTCGGCATTAATATGATAGTCAACCTTAAGGAATGTAAAGTTTTTTTCAAGATTGGAAAATATCTCGCCTATTTCACCGTACGGCTTAAACATTTCGCGCAACTCCTCATCGGTAATGTCATTGGTCAAATTGCCAACATAGAGACGATTGCGTCCAGAGAACTTGGTCTCCTGGGCGACTTCGATCGGTGGTAGCTCATGTGTGGGACCACTAATGCTGCGTAACCGTTGGGCTATAAAGAAGTCATCGCCACGCTGTGAATTGTTACCGCCGCCAGAGTTTTGTCCGCCGCCGCCACCACCACCACGCGATCCGCGATTCCTATCACGTCCGCCTCCTCCTCCTCCACCTCCACCTCCGCCGCCGCCGCCGCCACCACCACCTCCTCCTCCACCACCACCACCACCGCCGCCGCCGCCACCGCCGCGAGCCCTAAATGCTTGATTTTGAGCATGCGCATGAGCTTGAGCCTGGGCCTGAGCATGAGCCTGAGCTTGAGCTTGGGCCTGGGCATGAGCTTGGGCCTGCGCTTGAAGTTGTGCCTGGGCTTGGGCAGCTGAATTTGAATTGGATTGATTTGCATTGTTAGCTTCGTTAGATTTGTCATTGAGATTTCCTCCGTCCGCTTTTGGTGCATCTGTTGTGGACTTTTGCTATATATGTGTGTATTATATATATTCATGTGAGTATATAAAGAAAGAAATAAATGTGATTTACACTACGCAATTGTTTAACTACAGTACTCTATAACAACAAACAAGCCAAGTTGTTATTGGCAAACAAGTTCGCTTAAGTTTTAACAAGCACTTGCCTGCTGCAGTTCATCTATTATAATTTCTCTATGTTTAAGTGCGCGAAACAGCATATATATATATATACATATAAATATATATATATATGTATATATGGATATTTATGTTTTGAATAGCTTCCTCTCAACCCAACCAACAGCATTATTATGCCTTACAGATTTGAGAAATACCATTATTGGACATTTCGACAACTTCTGATGTTCAAACAAAATTTAAAATAAAAAAATAAAAACCAAATGCTACAGTAGAAATTAATTTGGTTACTATCACCTGCTAATCTTCTTCAACTGTATAAGCAGATATTCTAATAGATAAATATAGAACCTGTCGAATTTGTAAAGTTAACCCCGGAATCCGACTTAGTTTTGGAGTTAATACGCAAATTTGTAAGTCGCGGCGCGTTGTTATCAACTGCCGCTTTAAAAACTCGCTGAATTGTATGTAAAAAATGGCTGAAAATAGCTAAATAGCTTTTTTTCGAGCACAAATTAAATAACGTTCCTCGCACTTGCCATTGACATGCCGAGAAATAAGGTTTCAACTGTTTCCGGCCAACCTCCGAAAATGGCTAGAAAACTGCTGAATTGGCAACACTGGAGCAGCCGTACTTTAAGAAGTCTGGCAACATTGCGAAAATAAAACAACTGTTTTTTAAAGTTGCCTGTTCCACAACAAAATAATAGAATATTCAAAAACTTGTATTTCCATCGCATTTCAAATAAACAGGGCGTATTTTGAATGTGCAATTATTATCAGGAAATATGCGCAAACATTAACTTTTCGCATTGTAGATAACGGAAATGTATGTATGTTTGCACACATATATGTTTGGTTGCAACATGTGGCACCAATGTACCAAAGCTGGTATTGAATTTATAAATTTTTTTTTTTCACAAATCGTAATTTTCTTTTGCTTGTTTGAGCAAGTATTTTTATATTTGCTTTTATTTTTAAGAACATATACGTAAGATTTAATAAACCAGAAATGATATTCGTTAAAAGAATTCTTAAGAATTTAAAGACGTTTCTCGCATACAAGTCTACAATTTGTACTTTTAGCGAATGAGATTCAATTTTTCTAGCAATCTTTGGTGCAAGATGCCTTATCAGATGGCAATCGTGTGCATACAAACACTGAGCTTGCCAAACAGTTATATTTGAAGCTTTTCCCCGTTTAACGGAACCCCAAGCACAAATTGCGCACGAACATAGATTTTTGAAAGAACAGTTAGATCAAACATTAGGATGGGACCAAGTCATTGAAACGGTTGCAGTTTGCTAAACAAACTGTGCCCAATGATAATAATAAAAAGGTTAATGACATATGTATGATGTACATAGCAACATATACATTTACACATATGCATTTATTTATATATATATTAAAACGCCCACCCTTAACTCGTTAACAAAATTCTCAATATGGAGACCATCCATTTGCCGGTTGTATTAAAAAAAAAAAAAAAACAGACAAGCAAATAACGCGGCAAGCTAGCGAGACAACACAAGTTGCTTTAGCTCGAAAGCCATTGGTGCGAACGAGATGAATGATACAACACGAACATACTGTACGACGCAAACATACACTAGTGCACATAGGTTTGTGTATTATGCATGGCATACGTATGCCATGTGAATTGTGCAGAACACTCTTGTAGTACGCCGAACGCAAAGAAGAAATACAGAACTACATAGATATTGCTTTTTAATTGTGAATGCAAGATCTCATCTAGGCAACCCAGAAATACACAAGTACATACATGTATGTACATATGTGTATGCGTGTATGCATACCTTAATATTGTACAGAAAAAAAAAACAAACAAAGTAGAATATCCCAATTTGAAAGAATATGCATATGTATGTTAATATGCATCCATATATGTAGCTTTCAGCGAATATATGTAAGTAATACATTTCGTTCCCAATGACTTGTGTCATATTTTTAATTGAATTTCACACAGCATCGCAGCATAGCCTTTCGGCCGCCATTGTAATTGTATATGCTAGTACTTTTCGAGTGTACACACCACTCGCACAAATATACTGACACCAGCCTGAAGTTTTTTGTTTTTGTACATAATGCAAAAACACGATCGTCTAGGCCGTTTAATGAAATGGTATTAGAAAATTGCCGGCGGCAGTTATTAATCGAATTCAATGCAATTTCATTATTCTTTTATAACACATTGTGCATGTATGCGTAAATTTGCGTTCATATGTACTTACGTTTTGATTCTGATTTTGAAAATTCGACCTATTTTGATTGCCGCCACGATTGCGGTTGCGATTTCCACCTCCGCCAAATCCACCCTTGTTCGCGAAATTTTTATTTTGATTTTGGCCACCTCCACCGCCTCCGCCGCCGCCACCACCACCGACGACGCTACCTCCGCCACCATTCTGATTGTTCGGGCCAAAACGTTGCCGTTTTTCTGCTGGGCCACCGTCGGATGCACCTTCATTTTGCTTCTGTGGGCCGTGTTTGCCGATATTTTTATTCGGTTGATTATTAGCTCTTGCTTGGCGCTGTGGCAGCGGTGTTGAATTGCCAGAATTGTCCATTTTAACAGAATTTTCCATTACAAGATTGAAGTAAAATTGTTTTAAAAAAAAATCAATTACACAACCGTCCAGCCCCGTACAGAAACTGAAGCGTAATGAAATGACAATGATTGTGGGAACGAAACAGTTCTATATCTGTCAGGGTTGATTTTGTCGCATCGATCTATCGATATAAAATAGTGATGTGAAACGCATTCGAAATATTTTCCCTTTACGAAATGAAACCGATAGCTAGATAAAAATTTAAAAAACTTTAACTATATAGATCTTTAAACACTGAAACAGAAAGTTTCGTAATTGAATTAAGACTAAGCCAAAAAAATCAACCCAAAGAGAAATAAAACTAATTTAAATAAACTGCAGCTTAACTTGTTGAATATGGTACATTAATTTAGTTTAAACTCGGAGTTTATATACAAAAATTATTAATTTTGAATTTCGATGAATAAAAAATAATGGTTTTTGAAGTGGGATGTCCAGCACTCTTAGGCAATCTATATTTAAAAGAAAAACGCGTTAAGTAATAGGTGTATACTTTAAATAATAGTTTCGCTTACCAATTTCATAGAATCCCTTTTTAATGTATTTAAGAAACATTTCTATTGGAAAATTTAACAGCTTGCGGCGAAAACATTCCAGAGTTGCCAACGTAGCGCAAGTGAGCGCCTTCAACTGTAATCAAACAAAGATATTAGCTTGCAATTTTAAAAACTTAATAATAATAATCTGCTTACGGTTGCAAACACAACGTAGTAGACAAGAGTGGTCGGAAACAAGAACAATATTGCAGAAAAGAATATTGTTGCAAGGTATAGCTGGCGATTCATATAGTTATGAGCTTCGATTCTATCTAAAAACAAAAAACATAAAATAAATGTTTATGAAAATAAGAATGTTTTTATGTCCTACTTCTTAAGATATTATAGCGATTGCCTCGTACCACTTGCCATAACACCGTCAGTCCTTTAACTTCGACGTTATTCAATCTGAAAAAAGTAATTTGTTAAATTGATATTTAAATAACGTATATTTATACTTTGGCTAGCTCTTACACTTTGGTGTAGACGTAAAAACAATGAGCATGTAAGCCAACTATTGATATTAAATCGGCAAGCAATGCGATTTGATATGTAAATCCTAAACATCCAAATGCCCCGATGGCAAGGAAAACCTGCCGTACAATTGGTTCTATCAAATCTGAAACGAATTGAAAAAATAAAAATTATAACATTTTTAGCATAATAAATTGTCATCATTTATAATTGTTGCATACCCAAAAAGGTGGACCACAGTTCAATGTGATATTTAAAGCAATCAAGAAAAAAATTATTCAAATGTATGTTAAGCTTGAGGCCGATGGGACTACCCTCCAAAACCTTCAAAAGACTATATAGCTGATGTATAATAATCTGAAAAGAAAAGATGACTCTTCAGTGACAGAGCAGTTTGTCGTCTATAAAAACGTTGAGCTTACGTGGGAGATCTGAATAAGGAAATCGCCTGGATGAGAAACAAGCGTAAACAATACCAGCATCAAAATAATGCCCAATGCACGATCAATCATAATATTCGACAATCTGGAACTGAGAATAAAATATATTAATAAATAAATAAATTAAAATGAATGAAAAATGTTAACCAAATCTTACCCCTTTGTATAGATCGATTGCCATTCCTTATAATGTCTATAAATGACTGTGTGGGTTATTATACTATTTATAAATTTGTTGCCAACAATATATTGAAACATTTGCATTGGAATATTTGCAAGCAAACACAATGATTGACTCCCATAGAACCACAAATCATTCGATTTGCGGCACGTGTCTGGATTTGGCTGAACCAACTGGGCCAGCATATAGAAATCGCACTCATCATTAATTTGATTCTCCCTTGTCCAGTGGGCGAGAGTGTTGTTATCTTTGATAACTAAACTGCGTACTGTTTGTTTATCGTAAAGTATTAGTTTTACTTGGTTAAGATTTTCGGGCGTAACTCCGGTGAACATAAGCGAGACGTTCGGCGCATCATTGCTGTAAGTGAAGCATAAGACCACATCATGTGAACGGCAATAGTTGCTGTCCGCATAGGAATCACTGCACAAGATTGATCCCAAGAAACGCATTTTATTTGTGTCCGAGTCTAGTTTATTGTTGTCGGCATCTACCACATAATAAACAACGACATTGTCCTCGCTAATGTGTAGTTGGCCATATAGATTGCAGGCTCGCTTTAGATAAAAGTATTCAGTTGGTAGAAATATCTTTATGCTCATGGTTTTTAATAAAGTCGACAACAATTGACTTCATAATACAAAACAAAACAAAATGTATATATAAACATATGTAAATTTATACATGATATAGATATTTCGATAACAATTTACCATCAAGCCATCGATATCTTTTAATATGCGGTGCAACCCTGATGCATGTTTGTGTTTCAATTCACAATTTCATAGTTTTTCACGTGTTCTGTTTTATATCGTTTCGCAGATATTTATTGACATACACATTCGCATTTTAAAGGGATACATATTTCATCGGCTTTTGTTTTATAGTTAAAATTTTTTTTTCGTGTCAAAATATATTTGTGCAAATATTATAATGGGATATGATGGTAAGTTGCAATATTTAAGCCTCTTACCCATGCCTTCAAAATGAATACATATGTGTTTCAATGTGCTTAAGTTCGGGCATCGGCTAATTTACACATGCATGTACGTACATAAGTTTACATAAATAGAATAGGCGAATGTACTAATGCTTGCAAATTTAGACTGCACATGTATACTTGGTAAAACATGATCAATGCTGTTTATTTGAATGTTTTCAATTCATTTAACTATTTATCGTTATTTTGCATACTCACCGGCAGACATATTGGGCGCTACATACATACATACGCATGCATGGATGTACATACGTATATATGTGTATTTGTTGAATTTTCATATATTCTATCCCTTCAATATGCCCGTGTAACACTCAGGTATGCGCATATATGTGTGTGCGTAATAAATGCGACATATTGCATACTTTTTTCCCACCAAAATAAACGCATTGCGTATGACAATGAGGCAGTTTTCACTATGTATGAATATGTGTGTGTGCATGTGTGTGCAGATGTATATATGTATGCGTGTACGTGTGCAAGCCCCGTGAGTATACAACAACTATTTAAATTAGCTTATGTTTTTCATACGCATGTGAAGCTATAGTACATGGAATTAAAGCCGGTGATAGGAACATCAATATGCTTATGAGTGTCTGTAAATAGTTGTAGGAGCGTGTACAGTACCTACAAGAATTAGGTTCCCACTACGAAAAACAAAAACAATGCAAATAATGAGTGTCGACAAGTGTTAATATTTCCTAATTTTACTTTTATCGGCTAATGAGATTTTGTTATAAAAGCTTGCTAAGTTAAAATTGAAATTAACCTTTTCACGGAAATTAACTGAGTAAATTTGTTGCTATATATCAGTTTTGAACTATAAACTATAGAAGTTAAACCCGAGCGTATTTTAGGTACGACAATTAGACATTTTCTAACTTTTTAATGGTCTGAGCCTTAACCTCCATTCAAAACAGCAATGCACAAAAGATCCAGGATCCCAGATAGATAAAACGATAAATCCTGTCTGCTGTTTCTAATACAAAACTTGGCCGGGTAGCGCCGATCAGCTAGCTTTATATATCTAGTTTATATACACGTTAATTAACACTTCGTACTTGAAGGCATTTGCTCAGACTTTATGCGTGGGTACAAACATATATGTGGCATTTAATATACATACATAATATGATTACGTAGTGTGTAATGTATAAATGTATGTTTTGCATTAACAGATCGTGACCGTGACCGCGACAGGCGCCGTCATCGATCCCGATCTCGTGATCGGCATCGTGACCGCTCTAGGGATCGTCGCCATCACCGGAACTCGCGCCGCAAGCCGTCATTGTATTGGGATGTGCCGCCGCCAGGATTTGAGCACATAACACCAATGCAGTACAAAGCGATGCAAGCGTCAGGGCAAATCCCGGCCAGCGTAGTGCCAGATACACCGCAAACAGCTGTGCCCGTGGTGGGGTCAACTATAACGCGTCAGGCGCGTCGCTTGTATGTGGGCAACATTCCGTTCGGTGTCACTGAGGAGGAAATGATGGAGTTTTTCAATCAACAAATGCATTTAGTTGGTTTAGCACAAGCCGCCGGTAGTCCAGTGCTGGCATGTCAAATTAATTTGGACAAGAACTTTGCTTTCCTCGAGTTCAGATCTATAGATGAGACCACTCAGGCCATGGCGTTTGATGGTATCAATTTAAAAGGACAAGACCTCAAAATAAGGCGCCCACATGATTACCAGCCTATGCCCGGCATCACGGATACGCCGGCAGTCAAGCCCGCTGTTGGTAAGTTGTTCAGCAAAATCAGTTAGTTGTCGTCTCAGAGCACAGAAATACTAACACAATCTCTCTATCTCTCTCTCTCTCTCCATCTCTCCCTCTATTTAATAGTGTCAAGTGGAGTTATCTCAACAGTGGTGCCCGATTCACCACACAAAATATTTATAGGAGGTCTGCCCAATTATTTAAACGACGAACAGGTAAGCGAAGAAAGCTTAAAAGCGGATTATAAAGAAATTGGAGCAAGAAATATAAGAGAACTCAATGAAGTATCAATGACATTTATAAATGCATTCGAATATATGTATATAGACTTATATGATGTAATACATAAATGGAAATATCTTAAATGTAAAACTCATTTGATTTGCATATGATATACTAAACAAGAATATTCAGAGTTTGTCGATCAAATTTCAGCTCATATTAACCGCCTTGACCGGTCCAAATAATTAAAACATTCAGCAGAAAAATAGTTATAGTAACTAATTAAATTCATTTATAATAAAAAGTTTCAACTCTTGAGAATTCAGCTCCTCTCTCTAAACGTGTGTCGTACGCGTTATTTTGCACTGATTTTAGATATACACAGTAGACGTAAATATTTATAAATACTATCGAAATATCAAATTTACTACCCAAAATATTATAAATTTCCAAAAGCGCAGTCCTCGGTTAATAGACAACATATTAGAAA